CTGTAGTTGGGCTTTTGGGGAGGGGGCAGCCTCATGCTGCAGGGGTCAGGGTGCATGGAGGGAGCGGGTGAGAATTGGGTTGTGCTGCCAGCTGTGCTTTGAGCAGTGGGGACTGCTGCTGCCGCTGCCAACTTCTTCCTGTTGCTCCACTGCAGGCTGCATCTTTGCTGTCAAGCAGAGATGGGGAAAGGAGTATGTATGTACTCCGTGTTTCTGTGTTGGACACGGGGAGAAAGGAGATGTCTGAGGGCCAGTGCAAGCAAAGGGGAGAGCAAGGGGTGTTCCTCAGCCAGCTCCCCGCTCCCACAAGCACTGCTCATGTTGTGGCCGTTCTCAGGGAGAGCCAAGAGTAAAGCCACTGGGCAGTCTCCTTGCCACACATTCACCAGAGGCCCAGACTTTGGTCATGGTAGGACAGCCTGCTGTGTAGCCAGACGCAGGGGTGCGGAGCCGAAAGTCTTGATTTGCTCTACCTCTTTAGGTGGAGATAAGCAGTTTGAAGAAGGTAACCCTGCATTTTGGAGAAGAAGGCTTGGCTGGGCAGAAGCCCTGAGGAAGCACTACCTGGGATTAGTAGTGGGCTCAGCCTGCTGAGCGCAGCAAGCCAGCTTGTGCCAGGGGATTGCTGGGTGAGCTTTGGCACTGCCCAGGCCCTTCTCTGGGCCCAGGTTAACTGGTGCTTCAGGCAGTAGGAATCTTCCAGCATTCTTCCCTTGGCACGGGCACCTTTGGCTGCTCTGGCTGGGCCCTGAGCAGCAGGGAGACCCAGGCCCACTCCCATGGCCAGCCTTTGTGGACATGGCCTGAGCATGGAAGGTGGGAACAAGGGAGTGAGGACCCCATGGTCGTGGCCACATATACTGTGCTTGTGGCTCATGTCAGCTGCAGTCTCTCAGCTTACTGGACAAGGCTTGCCTTGTGTTTCTGACACTGACCCTTTGCCTTCCTGGGTGCTGGTAGCCATGCTGAACTGACTGCTGACGTGCTCATTTTCTGTGCTTGTTTGTGTCTTTCCCAGGAGAGGCAGGAGATGAACCAGGCAGCCCTGGAGTTGGCTTCGGAAGTCTACATCAGAAGATCTGACTGGGCCCTGAAAAGATCTGGTATGGACACAGCAGCCCATTCTCCTTGCCATGCACTTGTCTGTAGCACTCCCCAAAGGAGGATGTCCTCCAGGTGCTGCTCTCCTAAGCAGGGGAGCTGAAAGCAGGGGAGCTTCATGAGGTCCGAGAGCAAGTCTGTGGCAGTGGCTCTCTTGGATTCCCTCCTGGTCCCGCTTCTGCGCAGGTGCCTCTGGCACTGCCCCTCCCACATTCCAGGGCTGACGGAGGGGCTCTCTTCCTCATCAATGCATTTGGAAAGAGAACGGATGGGTCATCCTTTATTGCCCACGCAGCAAGCCCTCAGCTTTGGTCTGCCCTCATTCACCAGCACCCTCAGGCCTTCTACTTGTGGCGCTGAGAGGAGCAGACACCAGGCATATGGGTGCTGTCATCCTGCGCAGCTAGGCACCCCTACCAGCATGGAGATGAGGAGAGGACTGACAGACGTGGAGCTGTCCAGCAGCATCAGAAAGGGCGTCTGAGCACAGGGTCCTCCTACTCGGTGGCCTCGTGCAGTCACCTGCTCTCCCTTCCTTACAGGTGCCACCATTGACATGCAGAGAACTTCAAAGACCTATGACTGCAAAGAGAATTGGGGCTGCAGGGTTTTATGGTTCTTCCACACTCCCAACCCTCCTGATACGATTTTGGAGGTATTGTAGCAGAAACCACCAGTGCATGTTTCCTTCCTGAGAAGCTGGGGACTGACCTTGGGCATTGTCCTCTCAGTCCAGTGGTAATGCTCAAGCCCACAGTGCTGATCTGTTGCCTGAAGCCAAAGCTTGGACTCAGGGCTGGCCTCGATAGAAAGCAGTGGCTCCCCTCAGGAGGGGAACAGAGCTCAACTGCAGCATCTTGCCCAGAGTCCTCAGTCACAGCCGGGTGAACGACTTTCTCCCTGGTGACCTCATTTCCATACTCAGCCCTAACAGTTCTTTTCTGGGGTGGGAGGCAGGGGGTCCTCTGCAGAGCCACTGGGCAGAGAGCTGTGTCTGTAAGGGCCTGACTAGGTTGGCTTAGTAACAGGTATTCTCCTCTTTTCATCATACTGAGGCGCTGCTGCTTGTGTCTCATTTTCAAGCCTCATTTTCAAGCTGGACTAGACAGCAATAGAAGAAGTGAAGAATTGTGATTGTTATTTAAGTGTTTTTTGCTTTTAATTAACAATTTTTGATCGATTTATATAAAATATCTTCCAAATGTTTGGTTTTGCTTCAAAGTGGTGAATACCTTAAGGTGTTTGTGACTTAAATAAATGACGATCAGATTTCAGTCAGGTACAGTCAGGTGAGCAGGTTGGTAGCTAAGGTTTTCTTCACTGAAGAGAGGGGGTTATGGACAACTTTTTTACGGAGCATCTGCCACTTTTGTACAGTCCAGCACTTTGTTTACCTATGGTACAAAATTTCATCAGTGCTTTCTACGGAAGGGTGAAAGTGACAGTTCTGGAGCACTTTTAAAGCAAGTGGTGTGTAAAGTTTTAATAATCCATTCACATGCGTCTGACAGTTGAAGATTTTTACCTTTTGTTTTGAATGCAGAATGCTCAAGGTGCGTTGGCATACAGGTCTTTATGACAGCTGTTGAGTGATTGAATAGATGTTGGTTTATCCTCTGTCGTTTAGCAATGAGAATATGAACACTGAGATACATCTACTGAAGTAGTATGAACTACTGATTGCTATGTGATGGAAGAGCTTCTAGAGAAATTGGTAAAATCTTGGCTGGGCTTTGAAGACCACAGCTAAAGTGAAGTTGAGACTGTGCCCAGTCTTCACTGTGTAACAGATTCATCCTCTTCACGTGTCAGTTGCCTGCATCTTGTTAGTCCTGCTCTGTTGCAGTAAGAATGCGATTTCACTTATTTTTGTCCTACCAGTTGTATCATTCTTGTTGTCTTGTCCTCTTTTGTGGATTACAGAGATATGTGGGAAAGTTGTACGTAGGTCACCGCCACAGAAACGGGATTTACTACTGGCCTGATGGTTCCAAATTCACAGCTCTTTATCTTGGCTGTGTAGAAGGCTATGGGACGCTGGAATGGAAGGATGGCAGAAAATTTCAGGTAACTGGGAAATTGCTGTGCTAATACTGCAATTCCCGTGCCTTTCAAAGTCAGCAGTGTTTTGCTTTGGTTTGGTTTTTTTATTTATTTTTTTTTCGAGTCGCTCCCTTAGTGTTTTAGTTCTTTAGAGCAAAATTGTCATGCTTTGATCTGCCATGATTTAGGATGCTATTTCAACAGCTTAGCTTCTGCTGTACTCCACTTTTCCACGGGGAAATGTTGAAGGAGGTGATAATAGGATCATTTGAGCTGGAAAAGGCCCTTAAGACCATCAAGTCCAACCATTAACCCAGCACTGCCATGTCCACCATTAAGTGGTGTACATCCGTTAAGTGCCACATCTACATGTCTTTTTAAATACCTCCAGGATGGTGACTCTACCACTTCCCTGGGCAGGCTGTTCCGAGGCCTGACCGCCCTTTCAGTGAAGAAATGTTTCCTAATATCCAGACTAAACCTCCTGTGGTGCAACTTGAGGCCATTTTCTCTTTTTACTCTGCAAAAGAGACCAACCCCCACCTCACTACAGCCTTCTTTGAGGTAGTTGTAGGGAGTGATAAGGTCTCCCCTGAGCCTCCTTTTCTCCAGGCTAAACACCCCCAGTTCCTTCACCACACTTGTGCTCCAGGCCTTTCACCAGCTCCATTGCCATTCTCTGGACCAGCTCCAGCACTTTAATGTCTTTTTTGTAGTGAGAGGCCTGAAACTGAACACAGTATTTGAGGTGCAGCCTCGCCAGTGCTGCCTGGGAAAGTTTCTTGTTCACGTATCTAATGTATATAATTTTGGTACTTATTCTCCTTCTTTGATGAAGAGCTTATTTGTTAGACAGTACTCTCAAAAGGCATATTAGGATGCCAGCAGTAAGAAACTGGAAAAGTACTGCATATTAGAATGCCAGCAGTAAGAAACTGGAAAAATACTGCATTTTAGGAAACTGTGAAGATAGCACTCTGAAGTTTCCAGGTAGCTGGTTGGCTGTTGGGCATCATTTTCAGCCCTGATGTTGCTAGTAGAAGCTGGAAGTCTTGTTTTCTAAGATCGTGCAGTCCTTCTTCATTTTCCTAAGAGGTATAGCTGAAAAGTCCCAAGTGTAGGAGAGCAGTGCCCACCTGTTCCTGCTGATCCCTGGGTATCTCTGCAATTCATCAAATAATCTAAAACATAGAGAGAAACAATGTAAGAGTCTTTGCATTTAGAGGATCAATCAACACTGAGGAGACATCAACAAGGACACAGCATTCTTGCTCAGTGTTGATAATGTGGCATTAATTACAGATTCAGGAGAGCTTTAGTTTGGGTATATGATGTAAAATCTAAAGCTAGGGGAAAAAGAGAGACACTTCAGATCATAACCATACTCAGAATTTTATGCTTGCCAGCATATTCTGCCAGTGATAGTGCTTTTCTCCTACTCGTTTATCTTTGTAGCTAAACAGTTCAGTGTGACGTTGCTGATTTTTGCTCCAAATGGCTGTTTTGAGGTTGTGATAGCTTCGTGTGAACCTGTCTTGAGCCATCTGTGGACACTCAGAGATCATCTAATTAAACTATGTACTGAAGTACCTGGTTATTTTTCTGTCTTGGATTATCCAGCACACTGCAGATACATTGATGACAGATCTCAGAAGGAGTATATTTCACTTGAGGAAGACCCATTTCTCCATAGCTATAAACATCTCCCTTTTGATGATAAGGATATTTTACCTGAAGGAGTCTTTGCATATTCCCTTAACATGGATCATCTTGCTTTGACTCACTCCTTCCTGGAAGAGTGTGATGCTCTGTATTTTCAGAACACCTGGAAGCTTTCTGAGGAGGACCCTTGGCATGTTAGAATGCAGATGCATGTGTATAAGCACAGGTAACTGTTGATGGTTTGTTTATTATGTGTGGGTTTTTATCAGTTACTATCCATGGGTGTTCATTATTTTCGAATTTGCGTTGCAGGATAAAAGCTGCACTCCAGATTGGGTTTTGTGGCCTTGAGATTACAAGTTGTCAATAAGGTTGTTTTTTTTTTAAAAAAAGGAAGCAAATAACGTATTCACCTCTCAATTTATAGATTTTATTCCTTTAAGTTAAAGGTTAGGTTTCTCCTGGTCACACCTAGAAAAATAATCCCATTACTCATTACCAAGTCAGGGTTTGTGGAAGTCCAGTTTTGAAAAGAATTGGGAGTCAAGGGCTGTGGAGACCTGTTCTGATCTTCGCTGTCCTGAGAATGTAGTCTTGCATGGAAATAAAAATACGGAGAAGCATAGTGCCAGGTTTTCGAAAGTACTGAAAATGTGGCTGTTGATAACTCGCTGTGGTTGTCTTGACTCTTGTTCTTCTTCAAGGCTATACAAAATACGCTGTAACAAAAAAGTCTACAGCCAGTAGAACTGCCAACTGCACATCAGTTTTTATGTAGCTTGATACTTGTATGCGGAGATGCTTTTTGAGCCCACAGAGTATTTCCTTATTTGCTTTTTTGATAGGAACACAAGCTACATATGTATATTTTATAGTCAAAGCAGGCGATGAAAATTAAATCATAAACAAATGTCATGACTCTGCATGCTAAATTGGTTCATAAAAACACATGGAAGTTACATTTTGTTTTCTTATCCATCCATCAAACATCTAAAATACTTTTAACTTGTCTACATAAAAGCTGTATGCTACTGCCAGCACCCCATTAATATAAGCAAGCTCACACTATCTAAAATAGCTCTTAAAATGATAGCTAGCCTTATTTTCCCATCTTGCTGACCAGCATATTTTATTCTTGATGCATTTTCTGTAACTGCAGCAGTGGTCTGAGAGTACCTGGCTGCTTAAACGGAGTCAGTCAAATGGAGTTCAGTTCAGATGTCAGCTTCATTCTCAGCGGAGCCCGCAATGCTTACGGGCCTCCACGCCCCAGAGAACTTGCCTCGGAGCAGCTAATTAAGAAGGCAGCAAGAGGAGAATATGATGGGGTCTGTTTGATTCTGAGGAACGGGCTTGCTCATCCAGACGTAGCTGACAAGCGTGGATACACAGCACTTGCTGCTGCAGCTGCAAGATTCTAAGCATGACTCTTTACCACATGATAAGAAAATTCCTGGGGTAGTAGGCTGGATTAAATTTTTCTCTTGTTTCTTTACATAGTACGAAGGAATGTTCAACAAGCAGGAAAACCAGAAAAGCGGTGTGGCATGAGTAGTGTCCGTAATGACTGGTATCGTGCCAACCCCTGTGGTGAATAAATAACCTAAAAGAAGCCCTTCAGTAAATATTAGCAGTGATTTCGAATGCCAGGTTTGATTTCAGGTTGTGATTATGCGGTGTTACGTTCTTGGATGTGACTGTGCACTTATTATTTTTTCTCCTATTTGAAATCAGATGCACACAGAGTTGTTTTGGTTTTGCTGAAAAGTGGTGGTGGCTGAAGCTATGCGTGTACAACTCCGATTTCTGTCGGAGGGGGATGCAGTCTCTCCCCCTGCCTTTCTTCTTTGTTTTGCTGTCAGCTGTACTCAGTATTCACTGTAAATGCCAAGCAGAAGCTAGATAATTTCAAACGCTGTATTTCTCCTATAGCCATCTCAGTCATTTCTAGTCTCTCTGTGCACGAATCCTCGATGAATTCCTGCAAAATCCATTAGTTTAAAATTAACCAAAAAATGTTCTGTTCTGAACCCTGTAAGACACTGAGCTTCTGTTTTGAGGAAAATATAAATGTGAATTAGACAAACAGTGTAGAGCATCATTACCTCAAAATTGTGTTGTCAGTTCTTTCCATGTCCCACGCTAGAAGTGTGTTCTTATATGTGCAAATATGGATGTTTCCCCTCTACAGGTTCATTCCCATAATGCTGTTGTCAATCTTCTTCTTCATAGTGGAGCTGATGTGAGTAAGTGTAGTGATGAAGGATTACCTGCTCTCTCCATGTGTTTTATTCTCATTTATCCAGAAGAATCTTTTAAGGGTAATACTGCTGAGAGGAGCTTGCACAGTTACAAGGTTTGTTTACTTCTAATCTAAAATAACAGAATCATAATGCATTATTTTGTCAACCTGTAAGCTTGCTTTTAAAATTTACTGTATATACTCCCTAGGACAAACTCAGAAGTTTAATACATTTTGCACTCTGAGACTACAGAATAATCTCTGCTCTCACTGCTGACTCCTAACTCGAAGGAACATGCCCCTGTGCAGTTAGTTACAAGCTTACTCAGCAATTGAAATAAGGCACTGTGTCCATAGCAGAATGCGAGGCTATGCTGGCGAGGTGTTTAACACGGTGAGGATGCAGTGGGAGAGTTAATGGGAATTACAAAAGTGTAAGTAGAACAGTAGGATGTAGGTGATTCTCCTGGTGCTAGGTAACCTTGCTGGCATCATGGAGGTGGCTACTAAAAAGCAATTGTTCTGTCAGAAGTCTGCTGATGCTTGGGGAGTACTCAAAAAGGAAGAGTCGTATCCCTAACCTTTCTTCTGCCACAAAATGAAACACCTGCTCTTGCTTCCTGTGTAGGAACAGGATATGAATTTTGTAAGAGTACAAACATGGGAATGGGAAAGCAATGAAAGCAAGGATGTCGGGAATCACCAGCCAGGATGAGAAAACGGCTGAAAAAGGGGTCTGGGCAGGAACTGTGTGGTCTTAGAAGTGTTTCAACGTAGTCTAGAAATGGAAGGGGTGCCTCTGGGACTTTCGCATGAGGTTAGACAGATTAGGCCCATGCTTCGAGGAAACTTGTTGGAAATTAAGTCCCAAGTAATCCTTGGTTGCTCTGAAGTCACTCTTCTAGTGCCAAGAGTATGATCATGTGATCATGCGAAACACTGCTGAAGTTGCAAGGCAATTATGGGAAAGGGAGAAGGGGAGTGAGAGAGAGCTGCTGCTGGAAACTGCACAGAAAATCAGTGTAGAGCTGGTAACTCTCATAGTACTATAATGTAATGAGGAGTAGAGAGGGGATCTTTCTATGTTGGTCCGTGTCTGTAACAGTTGTGAGATTTGACGAGTAGACATACACTGCTTTCACTTTTCCTCTGAGTTGAACGTGCACCCAGATTTGGAAGAATTAACCTTGTAGATCCTAGTATCAGATTCTCATGCAAGCTAATGCAGGTTGAAAATCTGTGTGTGTCTCGTTTTATTTCAGCAATTCTTTTTCTCTTAAATTAGGTGATGTATACTGGAAGAAAGATTTAACTGTTCTAAACATGCTTTAGACACCATGGAATCATAGTAAAATTAGGGTTGGAAACGACCTTAAGATCATCCAGTTCCAACCCCCCCTGCCATGGGCAGGGATGCCTCACCCTAGACCGTGTTGCCCAAGGCTCTGTCCAACCTGGCGTTGAACACTGCCAGGGTTGGAGCATTTACCCACTTCTTTTTTGGGCAACCTGTTCCAGTGCCTCACCACCCTCACAGTAAAGAACTTCTTCCTTATATCTGACCTGAACTTCCCCTGAAATTGAAGAAGAAAAATATTCTGTTATTTTAAGAAATTAAACCAAACGAACAAGCAAAAACGTAGTTACAATTTACTTCTAAATTATTTCCCTAACAGTGGTTAACAAAATTCCAGTATCATTATACGCTGTATTGCATTAAAGGTGTGATTAACAGGTGTGTTAGTATACTCAGTCATGCACAGGAAGAAGATTTTTTTAACCTTTTTAGTAACCTTTCTTTTCTTTTTTTTTTTTTTAATCTTTAAGTGGACTGAAAAATCAGAATCCTCAGAAACTGTCAGTGATGCTGAAGGCATAATGTCAGAGTAAGTCTCATGCGCTAGGAATGGGAGACCAACTCTCATAAATGGTTTTGCAAAAAGGAGGTAACATTTTTTCACATATGTCACATAAGCGTGCATCCATTGCAAGGAAAGATATTTTTTGATTGTTTAACTGTACAAATCTTGCTTTCAAGTAGAAACCACTAATTGTTTATACACTCTAATGTGGCTCATGGCAGCAGCGACAAAGATTATAAGTTGAAAAATGCAGTTCAAGCAAAGGACATTGTGCTTGAGCAAGACGTCTTGTTAGAAGAGTGTGAAAAGCTTCTAAATATGCCATGGACACTTGCAGTGTAGTGCAGAGCTGAGGAAGGAGAATATATTTGTTTGTTACTTGAAGTCTTGACTGCATATGAACTTGCTTGTTGTGTTCTGCAAGTGTCTGTTCAGCAGTGATAACTGAAACGTAGGCCAACTGTTTCGCATCTGTGGATCTTTGAAAGGGGCACTTTTTGCTTTGCTTACAGAGCAGTCACCAAAGATGTCAAAATTTTTGTGTGGGTTTTATGGCAGTGTAGGTCATTTTGACATCTCAAAACCCCCAGACTGAAAGTTCATGGTTGGCCTTCTGACCTTCATCCCTTACTTGTGCCACATTTTACTTTTGTGGCACATCCTCCCACCTCCCATGATTCTTGTTGTCTGAAATAGTGTGCATACTGCATATCGTTCATTGGAATATAGAGATCTGCTGAATGTAGGGCTTGTGGGTAAAGCAGAGTTACTGCAATGCCTGAAAAGATGAGTATACCGTGAGAACACTTTGTGATGCAATTTCTGGGTGATATCCAAGTATTGGTGATATCCAAGTGCTGTTTGCTTTATTTTGTTGGGGTGTCAGATTCTTTTGTGTGTGTGTGTGTGGATAGTTTGCCTCCATAGAAATGCAGATGGCACCTGGAATATACTGTCCTAATCTAGCATAGCTCCAGTGCCAGCTTTTGTTTAAGAGAAACACTGTACCTTTGTTTTGTTGGGATGGATGGGTAAATGAAGTTTACTTGAGGAAAGAAACTTCCAAGCAGTCTTTGATGGCAGGAAGGAGGACTCTGTTTCTTTCATTAAACAATACTAAGATTAAATGTTTTACAAGTCACATGTGAGATGGGTGAAGATGCAGAGAACCTTGCCTAGCTTCTTTTATCTGTCCCCATGCTGCAGCTTTTCATGACTGCAGAGGCTGCTCTTTGCATGCCACTGCTTTAGTTTAGAGGGCTGAGATACACTGACTGTACCATCTCCTCTTCAGGTCATAATATTGTTGCCTGCTTGGGGTATGACAGTTGTGATGTGGTCCTAAAGACTGCTATGTCTTCCCTCTGCTAAGTGACAGTTATAGTCTATTACCTGCAAGCCATTTTAGTCCACTAGCTTTTAGAGTTTTCTTGGAAAGTGCCAAGATGTTATTCTGGTATTTTCTATGTCAATTCTAGACGACAGAAGAGATGGGAAACAATCCAGCTACTGCTTCGTCGAGGTGCAGATCGCAGCGCATCCTGGGCCCCACCACACCTCCTGTTCTTTGCTGTTAAAGGTGCGGATGCAGAAGCAGTGGAACTCCTCTTAAAAAGGGGAGCCAGGTCTGATGTGCGGCTTCCATCGAAGGTTTTACTGAATGGTAATTCATAATAATGGGATTCTAGATGTGTACTGCAGCTTCAGTGCCCTACCGTAAAATATCTTGCACGTCAGAATCAGCCTTAGAACGGCCAGAAAGCTGTTTAAAGCAATTATCCTATTCAAAGATTTATTTTTTTTTTTTTAGTAGAAAGAACTCAAAGCTCCTTACTGTCCAAGTATTTTTTTCTTATTATGTTTTCTGGTTGCCAAGCTTGTGAGTGGTTGAGGAATATTTGCAAAGCTGCTCCTCACGTTGGTTACAGCTGTTGTGATATTTAACAGGCTAAGCGTCTGGGGCCTTTAGTATTCCACAGTCTTATAAGTCCGGGCTCTAGATTTCTGGTGGCCATTCTGAGGCACAGCATATGGGAAGAGTGAGCTTGGATTATTCTTAAAATACTATTTATCACTACTTAAGTGCTGCTTCTGGTAAACAGGAGTCTTAATGCTATGTTTGTGTTTTCAGTTAGGGGGGTTAACTCCTCTCCACATGGCTGCCTCGATTCCTGGGGAGGAAGGGGTCCAGGTAACCCAGTACCTCCTGCATTCTGCCCCAGATCTTAATGCAAGGGCAGAAGATGGAAATGAGATAAATGGTCCAGACAAGGTATGTTGCTTTTTGAGCTCATCTTTCAGCTCTTGAAATTCAGATTGCAGAGGACCTGAGCAGGCAGTTGAGATTACTGCCTGCCTGTTCTTATAGTGAAAGCTTTGCATTTCACTGAAAGAACCTTAAAAAAAAAGAAAACCAACCCCCCCCAAAACCCCCAAACTAAATTCACTTTGAGGTCTATTGTATTAAGTTGTAAATAACACATCCTTCTGGTGCCCCAGAACACTCTGCTATCATGTCTTTTATATAAGACAGAGTCTTATATAAGACAGAGGTTTCTTATGTGTAGTCCAGTACAAATCATAAAATCATTGAATCATAGAATAGTTACGGAAAGGACCTGAAAATCATCTAGTTCCCCCCCCCTGCCATGGGCAGGGACACCTCACCCTAGATCATATCACCCAAGGCTCTGTCCTGATTTCATCAGGTTCCATGGGCTTGCGCACGTTCAGGTTCTTAAGATGATCTTGAACCTGATCCTCTCCTACAGTGGGCCTAAGGTCTTCATTCTCACAGTCCCTGTGTCTGCCTTCCAAGACTTGGGCAGCGTGGTCAGAGCACTTGCTGGTGGAGACTGAGGCAAAGAAGTCATTGCAAACCTCAGCCTTCTCGAAATCCAGGGTAGCCAGTTCTTCTGATAGCTTCTGGAGAGGGCCTACATTATCCCTAGTCTGTGTTTTGTTTGCTCCATACCTATAGAAGCCCTTCGCGTTATCTTTCACATCCCTTGCCAGATTTAATTCTAACTGGGCCTTAGCTTTCCTAACCTGGTCCCTAGCTTCCCGGACGATGTCCCTGTATTCTGCACAGGCTGCCTGTCCTTGCTTCCACCTTTTATAAGCTTCTTTTTTCCTTCTAAGTTTTCTCAGCTGTTTCTTATCCACCCATGGAGGTCTCCTGGCCTTCCTGCCACATTTCCTTCTAGTCCTTACACAACACTCCTGAGTTTGTAGGTCAGGATACAAGCATCCCTTTCCTCAAGCCGGTTGATCGTTGAATATAGACCAGCAGTCTTGGGCCCTCCTGCCCTTCAGGGCTTTATCCTGTGGAACCTTACTAAGCAGGTTCCAGAAGAGGCCAAAGTCTGCTTTCGTGAAGCCCAGGGCAGTGAGCTTGCTGTATACCCTTCTTACTGTCCTGAGGATCTCAAACTCAACCATCTCGTGATTGCTACAGCCAAGGCTGCCCTGGAGTATCCCTTTCCCAACCAGCCGCTCCTTGGTGAGTACAAGATAAAGCATGGCACCTCTCCTTGTTGGCTCCTCTATTACTTGCAAGAGGACGTTGCAGACGCAGAGGATCACCGTGCCGGACAGGCAAGGGCTCTGGTGCCATGCAGACCCCCAGGATCACCGTGAGGGCTGGGCAGGGCTCCGGGAGGTTTCAAGGCATCCTGTTGTAAGGGATTCTGGGTGCCCTATGGATCTCACAAGAGCCAAGCCCTATCCTAGGCTTACTGGGGTCTCCAATTCCCTTCTCCTTCCCCAGGTCTCTGCAGAGAGAGACACTGGGGACAAGGCCCCTCTCATGTGCCAGCAGACACCATGGGCGACTGTTTCATTTTGGGATCTGTTTTTCAGGACCGGAAGTGGTGGTGACATCCTTATCGTGTCCCCCTCCAGCGGCATGAGGAGGTGGTCGTCCCTGGAGGACCCCACCTGAGCCCTGGGGAGCCCTGGGCCATTTCCCTCTCATGATCAATAAACCCGTTCAGCAAAGCTGCGCTCTGTGTGCCTGTGTCTGTGCCCCCTCTCCTCTGCCAGCGGCCGCATGCCTGGATCCTCTCTGGCTGCATCACCACAGTGAGCAGAGTGGCTGAGGGAGTGTGGGCTCCTGTGGTGTCTGTGTAAAGGAGATTCCCTTCCCACACACCGTGTGCCCCAGGTAAGGGCAGATGAGGGCAAACTGGAGCGTCCCTCTGTCCTGGTTTAAATCCAGCTGGTAACTCAGCACCAGGCAGCCGCTCGCCCATCCCCTGGTGGGACGGTGACGGGAATCGGAAGAATAGAAAACCTGTACGTGGAGATAAGAACAGTTTAATAATTGAAAGCAAGTAAAATACAGTGATAATATAAATAATACCAACAATAACAGAAATTGTAATAATTTAGGGGAGAATTCTCTGGGTGAAACCTGATGCATTTCTCACAGAGCACCCTGAAACTGCCTCTTCTCTGGTTTCAGGAAGACTTTTGGCAGGTCCCTTCCCTGAGCTCTGGTACTTTATGCTGAAATTGGGCTAGGATAAAGCCAATAGCCTTCCTTTGGGCACTTCAGAGTGCACACAGCTTGCAGGGTTAACTCCTGTAAGTGACAATTGCTGTTTTGGTTTGAGGTGCTTTGCAGTCTTTCAAAAAATACCCCCACACAACACTTTCTCCAGCAAAAGAGATAACTTTTTTTTTAATTCTAAAGGAGAAATCCAGATGTTCCAAATGGAAGGTACATGTCTTCTAGATATGATGCTGTGTGTAGCTTGTGGCACAGGTTCACAGACTGGACTTTTGAGCGTGAAGAAAACAGAAGCTACATCTTACTGATGCCCCCAAACTGACAAAACATGCTTTGCTGGAATTCCTCTGCTCAGCCAACGGCTCATAGAGAGCATGTATCTTCTCCAGTGGGAGGTCTTGTACCATGCTGTTAAAGGATGCTGCTATACACTTATTTAGGCTACCCAGAGGGATTAATTTATCAGTTTTTTCTTCTTCTTGTTGCTGTAGACCCTGTCTTTTGGTTATTTCTGAGCACTGTAGTAGAACCAGAGAGCTGGAGGATCTCCAGTTAGGTTTGTGTTTTCACCACCAGTCCCTAGGGTGAATAATTCAGCAGGGCTGTTGCTAAAGAGCAGCAGCTTCCATAACAAAAAGTAGAGGAAAACCAAAACCTCGTTCCAAAACATACTGCATGCAGCAGGCCTTGTCCTCAGCAGACTTCTCTTTAAAATCCAGAGAGGAGGTATGTCTTGCAGTTACCCTGGAAGTGGGTAATTTGGGAATTTCTGACATAAATAAAACTACAGTGAGCAGTTCTAGAAATGGCTTGATTTTTTTTACATGCTGGCAAGTCATTCGTATTCCTGCAAAGGTCAATATGCCTTCCCACAGAGCAACAGTGAGCCGTGTTTTAATATAAAGTAGCCTCTTCTTTTTCTAAAAGATGAATGAAGGAGACATTTGAACACTGACACTTTATACAGTCTCTTGTATTCAGTTTTGGAATACCTGCTCTCTCTTTTGGCCTCCGACATTCCCTCTGCATGGCTCCTCTACTACTTCCAATATGAGTCTAATAAAAAACACTCCCAAAGAGCTGGTCTCTTGCCTTCAGCTGCAGTGCGAGGGGGTGTGCATGGCTGAGGATGACTGTCTGTCTTCATTCCATGTCTGTGCCGCAGCCAAAACCCAGCAAGGTGAGGACGAAGGGAGAGGAGCAGCGTGAGCAAGGCAGAGAGCTCTGAGAGCATCATGTCACTTGAGTGGAGCTAAACACTGCCCTGTGAATGCAGCACAGCCCTTCTCTACATGCTCTCTCCCAGGCAGGGCTGTGTGTCCCGCAGGAACAGGGGTTTCGCCAAGGACACAGCCCATCTCAACACTCCCCTTTGCAGTGCACACAGGTGGCTTCTCTGAAGGGTGTAGCCAGAAGCGCAGATGCTCTGCATGACCTTTGCCATGGGTTAAATGCCACAGACAAGTCCCCCGGAACACCAACAGTTAAGGAGAGAGAATCGCAAATTACAGTCTGAAAGACTCCTAGAATCTTGGAAGTCGGGGACCTCTTTGAATAGGAACCTTGTGATGTTATGGGATGTGCTCTGGTGACGAAGCTTGTGCTCGCTGCTGGGGGGACCCACAGAGAAAAGGCTGAGTGGGAGGAGGGCTCAGGACTCGCCCTGCTCCCCTGGGACAAGCCCTGTCTCAACGGGTCTCCCAGAGCTGCCCTGGGACAGGACCTTCCCTCAACCCTCAGGTGTCACGCAGCAGGCAGGAGCACACAGACAGGGGCTGTCCCTGGCTTGGACAGGAAGAACTGGTGAGATGAAGCTCCACTCTTGGGCCCAGGACCTTGCTGCTCTCCCCGCAGACCCCAGCGCAGGGGGTCAGCCATGGGTGGGGGAGTGTCGTGGTTTAAACCCAGTCAGACAGCTTGTTCACTCACTTGCCCCCCCTTCTTGCTCTCCCCCTACTCCCGGAGGGACAGAGAGGAGAATCGAAAAGAATGCAACTCCCACGGCTTGAGATAAGAACAGTTTAGTAACTAAGGTATAACACAGATCACTGCTGCTACCACCAATAACAACGATAAAGGAAATAACAAGGGAAGAGAATACATCACCTCACCACCAGCCGACCGATAACTCACCCCGCAGGCCCGACCAAGCACTGACCCATACCTCCTCCCACCCTGCAGTCCCAGCCCTTCCGGCTAACTCCCAGTTACATCCTGGGCATGACGTGCTGTGGTATGGAATACCTCTTTGGTCAGTTTGGGTCAGGTGTCCTGTCTCTGCATCCTCCTGGCTTCCCCTCCTCCCTGGCAGAGCATGAGGCTCACAAAGTCCTTGGCCAAACCAAAACATCGCTATCAGCTCTGTTCCCAGGCCGAAAGTCAAAACACAGCACTGCACCAGCTACCAAGAAGGAGAAAAATGACTGCTACTGCTGAACCCAGGACAGGGAGTAAGGGGGAAAAGCCTGGCAGATGTGCCCCATGGAGGGGAGCCACTGAACATGGGCAACTGAACCTTGCCTGCTTCTTCCATGCTGAGCTGTAACCGATCTCCTCATACATGGCCTCAGGGAAGGGCTCCCAAGCTCTCCCAGAGCTTCTGGACAGTGGCAGAACTGTCCCAGAACAGGCAGAGTGGGGACAGGAACCCACTCTGCTCCACCAGCTTTGGTCCTTTGGGCATTGCCTTAGCAGAGGGAAGTGACAAAGTCCCACAGTGTGCAGCCGAGAACTGGGGAACCCTCTGGCCCAGTCAGCTGCTGCCATTGTGGACACAAAAGCTGTGCTGCCCAGGAGGGTCCCGTCATGCAGGGGCTGGCAGATGGACACATAGTGGTTGTAGGGCGTGATGGTGAGAAGATAAAACTCGTCTGTGTTTGAGGAGAGAAAGAAAAAGACCTGGGCAGCACATCCCAGGA